CTCACAGTGAAAAAATTAGAATAGCATGAAACAACAATATTTTTTCAAGTTGTCTATTTAGATCCTGTTATGCATTTTTAACTGTATTTTCTAAAACTGTTTTCTGGTCAAAAAAATAATCTGACCACATCTTTTTGGTTGCTGTCTGTGATCTTACAAAGGAACGACTTTGATTCTAATTGTGTCATGGTCTGTGTCTGCGTCTCCCTCATGTGTCTCCTTGTGTGCTCCATTTCCCCCTAAGAATCCCCCTTATGTGTCTCTTTGTGTTCCTCATGTGTCCCCTGGTCTTCAGCCCTCCAGATATCTCTCCCAGGTCCTGTGTTCCTTTAGTCTTCCCCAGTCACCCCTCTGACGTTTTTATAGTTTCAGCTTTTCATTTTATTAGTCTCTTTAGTGTGTTTTTCCCACCGGTGTTTGTAGTTTTCCTTCCCCTTAGAAAATTAGTTATGTGGTTGCTTTTCTTGTCTTTAGGTTTTTCTCTTAGGTCATGTTAGTTTCCTCCCTGATTAGTTAATTGCTTTCACCTGGTTCTCTCTCCACATACCTGCAGCCCATCTGCCTCCCATCATGCCCCAGTGTATATAAGCCCTGTCTTTGTCTCACTGTCTTGTCAATCCATTGTGTTTGTGTCAGCGCTGTTTTGTGCTCCATGTGAGCTTTTGCGCCTTGTCTATAGGTTTTGTGCTCTAAGTGAGCTTTTGTACCTCGCCTCTAGGCTGTGTGCTCTGTGTGAGCTTTCATTCTCCTGGTACTCAGGACTTTGGTTTTTGGCTTCCTGCCATTTTGCATTTTGGTTCATCTCCTAAATAAAAAGGATTTTACTTTTAAACGCTCCTGCCTCGTGTCATCTGGGGTAATCTGCATCTTGGGTCCTAACAACCTCCTCCTTGCTCTCAACGTGACAAAGTCATAATTGTTCCTTTGTTTCATGTTTAAATATTTAGGCTTGAGTAACAGCACAAAAATGTTAGTCAACATGATAAAATACACTGCCTGATCCAAAAAAAAGTTGCCACCATACAAAAAAGGTCACGCTCTAATATTTCGTTGGACCACCTTTAGCATTGAGTACAGCACTGTGGCATTGTTTAAATAAGCTTCTGCAATCGCATTATTTGGTTCTTTTCAACACAGAAAAGGATTGTTTTACCTTTTTAACCCTCCCACTGTCTTTATGGGTGACCCCGCGAGAAAAGTTGACCACTGAGCAGGATTGATGGTTTATCCCTTGAGGTCCACGAGCACCATCTCACCCCTGCCACATGGACCCAAGGGATAAACCATCAACCCTGCTCAATGGTCAACTTTCCTCACGGGGTCACACACATTAGGAAAGTGGGAGGGTTAACAAATAATGCAATCAGAAACACACAGAATGATCGCACAAAAGAAGCTTCTGCAATGTCACCAGATTTATTTCCACCCAGTGTTGCATTAATGTGTCACCAAGATCTTGCATTGATGATGGTAGAGTCTGACCGCTGCACAAAGCCTTCTCCAGCACATCCCAGAGATTCTCATTGGGGTTAAGGTCTGGAAAATCTGTGAAAATGATGTGTCATGCTCCCTGAACCACTCTTTCACTATCTGTGCCTGATGAATCCCAGCATTGTTACCTTGGAATATGCCCGTGCCATCAGGGAAGAGGGAATAACCTGATCATTCAGTATATTCAGGTAGTCAGCTGACCTGATTCTTGGAGCACAACTTGTTGCTGAACCTAGACCTGACCAACTGCAGCAACCCCAGATCATAGAACCGCCCCCACAAGCTTGTACAGTAGGCACTAGGCATGATGGTGCATCACTTCATCTACCTCTCTTCTTACCCTGATGCTCCATCACTCTGGAACAGGGTCCATCTGGACTCATCTGAGTTTTTAATAATGCGTTGGACAGTTCTTAACCCAGTTTTAGTCATTCCTGCAATCTCCTTATGTTTTCTCCGCTTGATGCCAATGATCCGATCCATTGTCAGCAGAGTTATGCAAGTAAAGATGCTACAGCAGAAATCTGTTAATTACAGTCCAACATCTTTTACACATGGTTGTTTAAGAAATGAGAAGCAACTTATCGCACCAGTTGGGGTTAAATTACTTGTTGCCAGATAATCGCCCATGCAGTAATTATCCAATAGGAGGCATGTACCTGTTTGCTTAGTTAAATCCAGGTGGTGACTCTTTTTGCCAGGCAGGTTGTGTATGATGCTGTCTTTTTGGTTTTAAATGTAAATGAGCCAGAAACAAAGTGAGGTGTCTGACAGCTTCAGCCGTGCCTAATGTTTTGACAGCTTCTGTGACTCGGACTGAAGTACAAACAATCACTGTTGGCTCTTTCTCCTCCCTCCCACCACATCCCATTTACTCCCTGTCTCCATAAGTCAAAACGGTGCAGACAGCAGCCTTAACAGCTCACTGGAGCAGCAAAAGCAGAGGGTTAAATAGACTTTTCCGTTGTAGGAGATAGAGGATGGATATAAACCAACGATGAAAAAAATATGTAATTTTGACACACTCAGACATTATACACATTCCTCTGATCCCTAATGCTAAAACTACCTATCGTGTTTGAGACGTGAGACAGTTTATTTTTAGTTTATACTCTAGTAGTCTCCATCAACAGGTAATCACTGACCTACAGCATAAAGGCTGGATGGCCTAGTCAGCAGAGTTATGCAAGTAAAGATTCTACAGCAGAAATCTGTTAAGTGAAGTTTCTGATTTGCTCTTTTACCTGCAGAGGTTGTCTCCTGAGGTAAGCAGACAAGAAATGTTTGCAAGCTTGAATAAAACACGTCCCTTTCTGGACCAAACATCCTGCTTCATGTAGGTGGTGGAACAAAGATTGTGCTTCTACTGGGGCAGCAGTAGCTCAACAGGTTGTGCGGGTTGTCCAGTAATCGGAAGGTTGCAGGTTCGATCCCAGCTCCGGACAGAGAATTCTGCTGTTGTGTCCTTGGGCAAGACTCTTAACCCACCTTGTCTGCTGATGGTGGTCGGAGGGACTGGGGGCACCTGTGCTCGACAGCCTCACCACTGTCAGTGCGCCCCAGGGCAGCTGTGGCTACATCGCAGCTCATCACCATCAGTGTGTGGATGTGTGTGTGAGTGGATGAATGACACACTGTAGTGTAAAGCGCTTTGGAGTCCTGACTCTGAGAGGCGCTATACAAGTGCGGGTCATTTATCATTGTCATTTCAAACCTTGGTTCTCTGCATGTGTTTATGGTGATTGTTCATCATTAATGTGAACATCAGCCTTCCCATAAGCTACATGACACCGCAGTTTTTATATTTTGTCCATCCCACTCATCTGCATTTTACTATAATGACAAGAAAGTAAACCAATCCTAATCCAATGCCCAGACTTCCTCAACTGGCTCCTCTCAACGTGGAGGAGCAGCAGATCTCTTCTCACCCTATCTTTAAGGGAGAGCCCAGATACCCTGTGGAGAAAGCTCATTTCAGCCGCTTGTATCCACGGTCTCATTCTTTCAGTCACTACCCAAAGCTCATGACATTAGGTGAGGGTAGGAACGTAGATCGATCAGTAAATCAAGAGCTCTGCCTTCAGGCTCAGCTCTCTCTTCACCACGACAGATCGGTACAATGCCCGCATCACTGCAGATGCAGCCTTTCGTTCTTGTGCTCCAGCTTTCCCTCACTCGTGAACAAAACCTAGAGAATAACATGAGAACAAGAAGTAGTGCTGTTGTCAGTAGTAACAAGCATCAAGTAAGGAGGCCGCCGGTTATGGCAGCCGCGCCGGGGATGACAACACGATCCCAAGCCCTATGGTGTTCAAGCAATAGGGAAACACTGTATTCAGCTGTAACACCCTGGGCTTACGTCTTCACTCTTCGTCTCTCTTCAGATGCAATGTTTAGGCATCTGATTCTCAACCCTGCAGGTCTTTTTTAAGCTGCATCAGGGTCTTCTCCTGTTGCTTCCACCCTGTATCAGCCATCAATTTAGTATGAGGAGTAAAGGCTTCACCAGTAGACCTGTTGTAGGGATGACGGCTACAGTTTAAGCAGAGATCTCCAGACTACAGCAACCTCTTCTAGCTCATCCAGAGGTTAGAGGTGAACTGTCCACCAGACGGTGTGAGGTCTTATCTGTCCAGAAAGTCCTGGTTCTGCCCAGACGTTACTTCTTGGTGCATGGAGGTGTCCAGAAGGTATCATTACCAGATAAACAAACCACCTCAACTGATTCCTTTCGAGGCAGGAGAGCAGCCACTCAACTCTGAACTCCTCACGTTATCCCTGAGGGCAAGTCCAGACTTTGGTCATTCCCCAAAACTAACAACCTTAGATGAAGATCAACACTAAGGACTCTCTTTACTGACAGATAAGTACAACATCCATGTTACTACAGAAACTGCCTGAATACTAATACTTCTCTAACTCCAAGAGTTGGTAATCCACACTTTCCTGATTTAGGACCATAGCCTCATACTTGAAGATACCGATCTTCATTTTGGCTTATTCACACTTCGCGGCAGACTGTTCCAGATCAGTCCACATCTCTAACTAAAAGCAGGGATGCAATCTGAAATCCCCCAAAGCAGACCCCCTCTGCTGCAGCTTGAACTTCTGTCTATAAAAGTTATGAACAGAATCAGCCCGACACTCAGTGGAAACATCTCTGGTTTATCACCAGCTAGTAAAACCAAAGTCTTTCTTTGGGACTTAAATGTGTAGCTTCAGACTTTCTCATTTCCTTTTTCAAGGGGATATAGCTCAGTGGCCCCTTCCAGGTGAGACACAGATCAATAAATAGAGGCCTCAGAGTGTCAGCAACACATTTTTCTGCCTGGTGTACACACACACACACACACACACACACACACACACACACACACACACCCTGGCAGAATCGGTGACACCTCGCGGCTAAATATACAATGAGTGACAGCCGCAGGTGATCGTGCTCCTCCACAGACTTGCACCCAGCCGGATCGGAGGTCATAGGGTGTGTGTGTGTGTGTGCTGATAGGATGGAGGGGGTGGCGTTTGTGCGGTCTACCTCAGCTGCTCAGCTTGCATAGCTCAGATCCAAACGTTGCCCGGCTCTGGGTGCCCCGCTCTCGTAGGCCAGCTGGTCTGGCTTAACGTTGCTTCTTTTTTTCAGCATACTTTGGGTTTTTTAAAAGTCAGTTCTTGTTTGATACAAAGGACTGCGTGCTCTAACCCACAGCTGGAGCTGCTGGGGACTCTTCCAGGCGAAGACAGAACACAAAGCGCTGGTGAGTGAGCTGAAACTGGAAAAGATGAAAACAAGATTCCTCTGGGAGATCACTAACTGACCAATCAGGGAAACCGGTGTTTCTGTTCAACTCTGTCTATATAGTAAAGCCACATTTGGAAACAGAAATTAAACACTACGTCAAACTTTTTGTCCACTGGGTGGCAGCAGACTCACCTTAAATCCAACCTCCCACCACTCTAACCCAGATGATTATGCCACATTGCCTTTCTTTAAGCTTAAATTGAAGTTATTGAAACTCCAAACGAGCAGTTTTGACTTTGTTTTTCAAAAAAATGCTATTTTTCTTTTGTGTTTTCTGCTGTGATCATTTCCAAATGAGAGTGTGGCTCTAAGGAGTAGAGTGGCTTTTGAAAAGTGTTTTGAAATGACTAAATTTAGTTCATTTTCAATATTTCTCTATTTATTGTAGTCACAACAGTTTCTACTAGAAATGGCGGAGGAAACAGTGGATCAGTCTTTAGAAAACAAGTTTCTCTTATGGAAAGTATGCAAAATATTTTTTCTGCTGCAAACCTACTTGATAGGATTAAATCCAGGGATGAAAGCTGTCCGTCTTTTAGAACAGTTCATATCTGTTTATGTTGGGTAAAAGTCTGCTGTTAGAGATATTGTGAATGATGCGAACCCCTGAGGCAGATCCAGGATCACAAGAGTTTACACTGCTATTTTAATCATTTATTCATTGCTTTGTTTTTGTTGGACACATGTTGAGTTATTAAGATTACTTTCACTCATTTTCCTCTTTGATGGTCGAAATAAACTTTTCTCATCAAAGCTGATTGCTTACGGAATTATTATTTGGGGTCAACAAGGTGGTTGGTCAGTTTTTCATGTGCCGTGAATAAATCAAACGTTCTTTGGAAGATTAAAGTTGGAGTTGGTAACGGGACCTTGTCTTCTTCTAAAGGTTTTTACATGTGTCGTAGCGTGACCTTCTGTCGCAGTTTTCTCACACAGATTTTGTTCAAGTTGAAATTACAATTAAAATACATTTTTCTTCAATAGAAATAAAGGAAAATAGGGTCAGAATCATGGCTTCTTTGATATTTAATCAACAAAAAGTGTTTTTTATTGTTATTATTTTCAAGAAAAGTATGATTTATTTTACTTTTCATCACTAAAATGAAACCTACAATCAAATTGACCAATTTGTTCTGGTTTGAAACAAAAACTTCAGTTTGATCATTTGTTCACGGCTCTTTTGAAGTCAGGTGTGACTTTTCTTAGGCTGGGTTTGTATTTGATTTGAACCTTTTTTGCTTTTGTTATGAATTTTGAAGTTTTTATTTCCCTTTTGTTTAGCTTGTAATCTTTTAATGGCTTGACATCTTCTATCGTCCAAACAGAATAAACACCTGAACTCTCAGTATTTTGTAACCTAAATCCATGTAGAGAATGAGCTGGTGGTGGCTCTTTGGTGTAACCAGAGACTGCGTGTCCTACACCATGTGTTGGAGTCACTCGTCTTCACACAGATCACATCCCATAATGCTATAGACAGAAACTGCTTCAAAAACTATTGAGGCTGTAAATTCAACATGAAAAGCCAGATCTAAGTGTTAAGACAGCAGCAGAGTGAGAAAATGTTGTGATTATATCAAACTTAACATGCACTCCTCATCCGGGGAGAGCGAGGCTGTGTGTTCAGATGACCTGCAGGTGTTTGATGCTGTTCTGCCTGGCAAACTCGTTATGATGTAAATTTATGAGGGAATTTTGGCTGCTTTCAAGTCTGCATAGGTAACAATAAGATAATGTAATTTGTTATCACCCAAATCATAACAATAAAGTAGAAGAGATTATAATACAATAAGAACTACAGAATATGTTTTAGGTAAAATAATAACGTTCACGTGCTGCAGATTCTGAGCCTAACATCTTAAGTTACGTTTAAAAGTTTGCTTGTATTTTTGCTTAGAAATTAGTGCTAGCTGCAATTTTGAAACAATTTGGTTGTAATGAACTCTAGCAGGGTCTGCAGCTTTTAAAATCAGTTGAAGTCAATAAACAAAACATCTTACAATGCATACAAATATTTAAATTATCCTTAAGATTCACATCTCTTTGCTATAATTGTTGTGAATTTCACATAATTTGACTCAGTCCAGATTTCATTCTGTCTTTGATTAAAATCTGAATATATTAAAATGCTAAAGTCGTTTGCTGGATTAAAGTCACCGTTAAAAATGAACCTGTTGGTTCATAAGTTACATTTTCAATGTTCATTTTATTAGAAGTTTCTAATGTTTTCAGAAGTGTGTAAATATCTCAAAATAGTCCTGTTTGTACAGAGAAAGGCTAATCGAAATGATTGATTTGATCAGATTTTACAGATGAATAAACTTGTGTTCTGATTTTAAGGTGCACTTATTTTAACAAATCAGGTTAAAATAAAGAAACCGCTATTGTTAATGTAATACTAACAATAAAGAAACAGCACAGAACTAAGAAAAGTTTCAAATAAAACATTATAATATTGTAAGTTTAATAATATGAGTATAAGAACAGAAAATTATTATTATTATTATTATTATTATTATTACTAAGATCATTATTAATAATAACTATAATAATAAACTAATTAACTTTCAAATTAGATACTCATCTTTCAAACTTGCAAGAAGCTTCCTCTTCGTGGCTTAATTAAAGGCATTATGTTACATTTAACATTTTACTGCGTAAGTATTACTAATAAGTATTAATAATTGATTTCTTAAAATTCTAAATCAGCAGATAAGCGTTTATTACATAATTCATTACATTTTGATCATATGTTTTGGGGCCAACGTGTTAAGTAAGGCTAAACGATTTACTAAAAGAATAAAACATACATAATTTTTTCATCATATGCAACGAATTTTATTTTAAATTGCGTCCTAAAAAAGTTTCCTATTTTTCTATTTGTTTCACTTGTAAATTACAAGTGAATTGACCAAGTTGTAATCGGAAATGGTGTGGAACCGATAGTCGCCGCTGGGAGGCAGTGGAGTGCCTGAGCTCTGACTCTGACGCTTAAACCTGTTGAAAATACTAAACTAAACTAGGCAAACAGTTCGTCACCTTTAAACTGGTTCTGGTTCTGGTTTAGTGTTTTGATTAAATAAATGAAGTTTAAATTTAGCAACGCCGACTTCAAACTTTATCTCTTTGTGCGCGTGCTTGTGTGTGCGCGCCCTGTGATGCTGCCTCGTTCCGTGCCTCCAGGTGCTCGCTGACAGCCCGGGAGGCGCTTGCTCAGGAGGAGAGGAGCGTGAATGGACTGGTGAACCGCTGGACGGAGACACGCGGCAGCGGGACGTGACATGCGGGACTGAGCGGGAAGTAAGTGCTGTTCTGGTTGTGTGTGTGTGTGTGTGTGTGTGTGTGTGCGTGCGCGCGCGCGCGCGCGCGCGTGTGTGTGTGTGTGAGAGAGAGAGAGAGAGAGAGAGAGAGAGAGAGAGAGAGAGAGAGAGAGATCAGAAGCCGGTCATCCTTCTCTGTCCGCGGGGATTTTAACAACAGCGTCACAAGAAGCTGCTCACTTTCTGGAAACTTTCCCTGGCCGACTGAAGCGTTCGGAGCTTTAAAACGAGATAAGAAGCTGGACCGGGTTGAGTTTCTCGCTTGAGACCAAGAGGTGGGACACTCGGAATTCATCACATCAGGAGAGGAATAAGAGTTTCACTTTTCTGCAGCAGCTCAGGGTAAGAGAGCAGGAGGGTATAGCTGTGGGGAACCAAATCAGCTGGGTGAATGTACAGGGCCGGTCCTACCTCCTGGGGGGCTCAGGGGGCAACAATGAGCTGATGTCGGTTCCCATCCTACAGACAACACTGCAGTTTGTTCCATCTGTAGTTTTGTGGATGACTCATTTTTCACTGAGTGCTTCTGTGCAGCGTTCAGCTGCAACACTTTACTGACTTATTGTATTTGAATGCAAAGCGTCCATTTTTTATTATTACATCTGATTCCACGCATACAGCTACAAAGGCTTTAATAAATGCACGTTTCAACTGATTTATTTTCATGTGGTAATTAGTTTTAAGTCACACCAGCTCATGTTTTCTGTTGCTGACTTATTGATTGAGTCATCACAACATTATTTTGCGTGGTTCCAGTCGAACACACACCAACATGACTTACTGAAAATTTGCCAAAACCACCTATGGATATTATTTTGTTCTGTGGTGAGTGCTAGCCTTGGTTCACGTATCATGTCCCCTTCTGTCTTCATCGTCCTTGCCTGTCCCCTCCCATCTCACACACACACACACGCACACACACACACACACACACACACACACACACACACACACACACACACACACACACACACACACACACACACACACACACACACACACACACACACACACACACACATGCTACTGGGGTATATGCAGAAAGACTAGCCTCCCATTAATAGCAAAAAGTGAAAGATGTGAAAATACATTGTTTCTAATTGAAAGAGGAATTACTTTTGGTTTTTGACGTAATTTCTGGTTTTAGTGTCAAATTTGTTCCATCTGTCAGTTTTCTTGCAACGCAAAAATCTTTTTATTTACTTTGAATGGTTTGAGCAATAAATATAACTGTGTTTTTCATGTTTTATAGTGGGTAGATTAATAATTACTTGTTTTACAGTTAATTAGACCTTTACATGGAAGAAGCTGTTAATAGAATATCATTCATCAAGTGTGCGGCTCAGTGTCTGTACCACAAAGTGACTCACTAGCTGCTTGTAAAGGACCTACCTAACCAAACCACATGCATGAGATCATGTGACATTTCATGTCCACATCTGAGGACCTACAAGGTTTAATCTGTAATTTAGTCTGGGTTTGAACATCCAAATTGATTTGGCACTTTGGTAACGTTTTCCTCCCGTGTCATGCATTCAAACATGGTGCTATTAACACATTTTGTAAAACATTGCACATTCTAGGAAAACAGCTGTCATCACTGGTTTAAAGTCACGGGTTCTTTTTCTACAGATTTTCAAGTCGTTCAATCTAATTTTCTTAAAATTTTCCAGATGAAAGATCATATGTGTTTTGATTTGCATTTCAACGGGAGGACCGAAGCTTCAAGAAGTGTTTAGTTCCCCTTCGGCATCAAGCTCTGAACAGATGAAAAACTAAACAAAACTGGGACTCAGTCTTCTTCCAAAACCTTCTAAATCCAAACTAAGAGATTTTATTTTACCACAATCAAAGCTGTGATTATTTGAAACTCATTCATTTACAGAAAGCATGTCACATTTTTGCATATTGCAGCTTATACATGATAACCTTAAGTTATTACTCCAACAACAGCAAGACAACACCAGGACACGTCATTTGGAATTCTAAGATGTCCAAGGAAGATCCCGCCTTTCTCGTCTCTGATTGGCTAGAAAGGCTCTACTACGATTGGCTATTTCATTTAACAGCAAACTGGCTGTCCTCACCAAGTGCAGACTGTGTCCTTTTGCCACCAGCAGAAAGCTGTTTTGGGGAGTTTAGTAAAGAAAATGTGAACTTAGCGCTATAATAAACATTCTGTCCTGGTTTGCAAAATAGTTTATGTTTTATGTTTCATAAAAAAACTGAAAAACGTAAAATGTTATTTTTAAATCTTGTTGCATTTATCAAACTGCTGGACTTACTTTATATCTCTTGGCTATGAAGCATTAGAGAACATAGGATAAACATATGTGCCTTACCTGGGTATGACATTTAATAAAACTGCCCTGTTCTGCCAGCTGTGTGCATCGGGTCTGCTTTTTCTCTAGAATAATGAAAACTGGTGAAAAATAGGTCTAAATCATAGTCAGCTCTAACTTAATTTTTGATTAAATGATTTGCATTTAATCTGATGATGAGAGATGTGCTCTAACTTGTAAACAGCCTTAACCTTTTAAAGCAGGATAGCCTAATAATGAAGTAATAAGATAACCCCAATAGTGCCAGCAGATATAAAGTCAGTCTACAGTGTGATAAAATGCTCCAAGAATTATTACAAGTTCACATTTGATGTTTTTCAGGCTCTTTTATGAAAGAAACTGAACCTGGTTTGTTGCTAAACAGGTAAGGATGTTTATTGTAGCGATGAGTTCACATTTTCTTCAAAAAACTTCTCAAGATCTGGCTGTAAACATAAAAAACCTGCAGCGACTCAGCGAGGAAAACTGTTTCCTCTTACATGAAATAAAATGGTAAATGGTAAATAGCCTGCATTTGATATAGCGCCTTCTAGAGTCCTGGAACCCCCCAAGGCGCTTTACAACACAACCAGTCATTCACCCATTCACACACACATTCACACACTGGTGGGGATGAGCTAAGATGTAGCCACAGCTGCCCTGGGGCGCACTGACAGAGGCGAGGCTGCCGAGCACTGGCGCCACCGGTCCCTCCGACCACCACCAGCAGGCAAGGTGGTTAAGTGTCTTGCCCAAGGACACAACGACAGCGACAGACTGAGCGGGGCTCGAACCTGCAACCTTCCGATTACGGGGCGAGCACTTAACTCCTGTGCCACCGTCCTTCCTTGGACATCCTAGAATTCCAAATGACGCCACCGGGACTCATACAGCTTCCTGTAAAATAAGTCTTAATTTGTGGCACGTATACTCAGTTTTGTCTACATTAAACCTTCTAAACATCTAAAGCATACTCATCGACTTGGGAAACACTATTAATCTTATTCTTTCACCTAAGAAATGTGGAAGCCGTTCTTGGGCAGACGCTGCTTTTTAACTCTCAACTGCAAGAGTTTTATTACTTCCTGTTAGCTCCTGCTCATCTCTTCCTTCTCGTCTTTGTAATTAAATGTGATGCCAATGTCTTTTTCTGATAGCCTGACCAATGCACACTGCATTCAGGCTGCAGCTGAATAAATAACATCTTTCTGATCAATCAGTGCTGAACTTGGACACACTATATACTCCTTTCTCTTGTTTTGAACCCAATCCCTGTAGCCTAGGTCACACACACAGTTTCCTACATTAACTAAAGGCTTCATGGGCCTGCAATTGACTCGGTGTTGCCTTATCCAATAACTTGGAACATGGTTGGAACAAATGAACCAAGGTGGCCACTTAGCCAAGCCAAGAAGCTAATAAGGGACTCTGGAGTAGTCCACCTGCACGGCCACCTGGCTTCCGTGCGAGGCTCTAGTCATGCTGGTTGCATGTAGAGCTATAATATGGACTGTTAAAATACAAGCAGAGCCTCAGATTACTGCAGTCAAAGCTGGGCACCCTGGCCGCTTATGTGAGGTCATGCACTGCCTCGGTCGGAGTAGATCAGAGATCAGCGGGAGATTAGCTACATGCTAACGGAGGTTTTTGGGTTGCTTTTAGTGAGAGAAACATGGTTAAGCGTCTCCAAAATCAACTCAAAGAGCAGCAGTGTTTCTGTAATTTCCCTCAGAGAGCTACACATGTGAGCAGAACAACTAAAACCAGGTGTATGCGTGGCGTGTCTTGGCCCCCTCAGGAGATGAGACCAGCAAAGTCCCAAACTCTCTTCAAGCTAGCCTCGATCAGCTTACGAGTTTCGGTACCCAGTCAGCCAGCCATCCCCACCAACACTTTATAATTCAACCCATTTTTACCAAGCAGTGTTATGCACAACATTTCCCCATTCAACCAGCAAAATAAAGTATAGAAATATACTTACTGATAAAAATTAAGCAGAAACTGGATGATCTGTCACTGCAGTCAATAACCACAGCTTGCCCTCTTTGTCCAAATAATTCCATGATTAACATCCAAACACGAACACACAGAGGACACAGCTAAAGTTCAGCGTCGAAATAGCCGTGAGGCCAAGGCTGAGGCCTTCGCTTGAACTAGCTGCTAGCAGTGGCTCTGATGCTCATTAATTATTAAGAATTTCAAGCATTTAGTTACACTTAAACAGAGGAGTTTAAAAGGAAAATTCACTCCCATAAGAGTTGTCATGAATGTAAACAATATCTATTACTTTAACCCTCTGGAGGCAGGCGTTGCAGATTTTCAACGTTAAAACCTACCTACCTGGTTACTCCACATACGTATTTCATGAGCATTTTTTAACTCAGAAGTACCCCTGAAGGACTTAGTTGTTCGTCCTTTTATCAAAACTTATTTTGAGCCTGAGAGGGTTAAACCTAAAAAGGTTTTTTGAACCAGGCTATAAACATGTTTATTTCTGCTGTGAAATTGACATTTTTTAAAATGGGAGTCAATGGGAACTCACCTTTTTTAGAGCAAGCCCCTAGCAGATGAGGGTGGAACACCAATTTTAGGCCCGTCCTTGTTGGGAACAGGTCTGGATTTGGAGGTCCAAGAGTCGTTTGTTGTCTTTGAATTGTGT